CATGTGAAGCCTAGATGCGTGTTTATAGATGAAGAGGTTGTGGCTTGGAGTTTGTGGATTGTCACAGATCCTGAGTGGCATAGCTGGGAATAAAATCTTAAGATTTGTGACTCTCCTCTGTCCTGCTCCAACTGACAAACTCAGTGTTTTATATAGATTGAAAAATGGGCTTTTCGCTCTGCCTTTATATAAGGTTTACCACTGAAAGATGTGAGCTGTTCTAGAAGCAGCAATGGAAGAAAATTACTTTCCTATGAGGATATGGTTGCAATGCACAAGATAGGATTCCTGATGTTGATTTCATGGTGATACTCCAAAGGAGTTTCCACAAGAGACAAACTTAATAAAATGCAGCGGTCTCTTCATCTTTTACATTGCTATCTACTCCATGCCATGCTCTGCCTCATAATGTGCTGCTACTGCCTTGTACAACAGGCTTCTGAACTGGGTATTTCCAATGACTCCTTAAGCTTGTGCTGTTAGTTTACTAGAGCTTTCTAACCGACTTCTTCCTGCCTTTTCTGCTTCAGATCCAGGCCTACGTGATGTGCAACAAGTTGCGTTCTGCCTATCTAGTCTCGGTGAGACAGGAGAAGACCAGAGCAGTGCAGCTAGTCCAGCACGTGCGACAGCTGGCTGAGAACAGCGGAGATGATGTTGTGAAGGCCATCTGTGGCCAATGGCTCTCAGTGCACCAGCCCAAAATGAGAAACCGGCTTCCCCAGGGCACTAGGAAGTAATAAGTAATTGACATTCACCATCATACAGAAGGAGAAGGCTTCAAGACAGCTTAAAGGCATGTGGTTCAGCAATCTCTTGGTAAAATGGAAGTCTCTTGACTGATGTTGGTGGCAAACGGATGCTGCTAATGTGCCTCTGGTGAAAGGAAGAGTACTAAGTTACAAGTGCCAGTCCTGTATTTTGACAAACAGTCACTACCTCAGGGTGTTTTTTGGCTGTGTTTTTGATGTGGGGGAGGGGGGCAGTTTCAAACCGAACAAGCAAGTTTAGGTGTGTGGAAGAAAGCATTTCTGTTTCTGATTTGGGGGTGGTTGTTGCTGTTGTTGTTCATTTGGGGTTTGGGTTTGGGTTTTTTTTTGGTTGGTTGTTTTTGGAAGGCACTGAACTTTATTGTATGTTTTATTTTTAAACCAGAAAACCTATACAGAGAGGACAGAAAACTCTCATCAACTCAGTGTAGCCTAGAGTATAAAACATTTTGTGATTATGGGTTTCCTGTAAACTTTTTCAAGATTGGAGAGATCTTCTTTTATGAAGACTGCAATTCAGAGATTTTTTTTAAGCCTCTATACAAACCATTGCTACTTTTTATTTTTTTTTTTTTTTCCTCCCCACTAGTACAATGTCCCCAATTTCTTTAGGTCGTTTGAAAAGGTAGGAACTGATTCTTCATGGCAGGTTTCTACTTACCAGTCATACTATATGATGTGTGCCATACTTACAGCATTTGAGCACTTACTAGGTGGATGAAGTTATAAAGGGCATATCCTGCAAGGGGAGTACAAAGGGAAGATAATCCTTTAAAATAGTTGAAAAATCATGTACTTCTTTCTTTGCCACAGTTATACCCAATAAGTTGTTGGGATGCAGCATTATCATGGAACAGTTGCCAGTAAACTTCCACAGTTTTTCATCAGGTGTAGCAGAAAATATGGATAGAGCAAGCTGTGGTAAAATTCATCAGGCTATCTGTATCCCTGTCACACAGGGATTATTTATTTGTTTCTTACCAGAATAATCTGTCCCTGTGAGCTACAGTAGAACACCAGACTGAATTTTTATTGACCGGACACACTGTATAGACTATACGGACAGGTTTTACTCTGACATAGTGTCAGGTTAACTCAGTTTTATGAAAAAGCAGGCATCTTTGTGTAATGGCTGTGTTCGTCGATGCTGAAAAAAGCATCTGCTTCTCTGCAGCTGTGACAGGGATATGAGAAATGGGCAGAAGAAAGGTAGACGGTAGTAGGACCTTCAAGAAAGAAACAACAAAACGTGGCACTCCACAAGAGTTTGTGTTTTCTGTTTACGTGTATTTCAGCACAAGAGGTAGGAAAACTAGTTCACTTTTTGTTAAAAAGTTTAGTTGTTTACTTCAAAAGCAACAGGTTTTTGGAAGTGTAATGTAACTGTAAATAGTTTTAGTACACAAAATAATTGAGACTGTCAAGTAAGAGTTTTGCACTAATTGGAAAGGACTTGGTCCCTCTCCTTTTAGTGTTTCATGAGCAGTGCTCCACTGACACAAACGCCTCTCCTGGAGCTGCTGCACTCACTAGAGCAGGGCAAGAAATGTCTCGGAGCTAAGCGGTCAGAAATGACCACATTTAGCTTTCAGAATCTCCTGACCACAGATTTGCATTATCTCATTAGTGGGCAGTACTAATGAAAGCTGCTTTTGTTTTCTTTGCCAGACTGACCTAGCTTTCCATCGGATTACAGCCGTTTGGTTAATCCTAAAACGTGACACTATCCATGTCTTCGATCATTTCCAAATCTCTAATTATGGGGGGGAGGTTTTACTGTTTCTGGGTATCCAGAGCTGCATTGCTGTAACACCTACTTTTCTGCTCCAGTTCTTTCAGCTGTATAGAGAACAGAGAGTGGAGTTTGCTGAGCAGACCAGTCAGTTCCATACCTGCCTTTTTTCCTGACCTCTTTGCACTGTACCTGATGCACTTTATATAGTGTTTGTTGTAATTTGATGTTTTTAACCTGGAATCATAGGGATTTTTCTCTTACCAGCAGAACTGGAATTTTGATCCCAACTAACTGCCTTGTGTCGCGAATAGTGCAACTAGCAAGGGGCTTTGAATTTTTCAGCATCAAAAAGGGATTGAGTACTGCCAGTTAAAAAGATTTTCTCTATTAATGACCAAGGTTTGTTTACAATGAAAAAGAGAATAAAGTATTATGACTGGTAACGTACCTTCTGTTTGCGTTTTATCTCAGCATAGCTGGGGATCTCTTTCTAGATCTGCATTTTGCTTTTGGCTACGCTTAGCAGAGTAATTAGAAGGGGGAAAATTGTTCTGTCATGCAAAAATCTCTCTCTGCTACAGTGTCCTCAATATTTAGACCAATTGGAATATCACAACTTTAGAAGTCCTCCCAGTAGGTAGGTAGCTAGCTCAGCCTCATACATGTACTCTCACAAACCAGTAATCCTCTTTCGAGAGCTTTGCAAGTTAATCTAACTCTCCCTTACAAGCCTCCCTTTGAGACAGCTAAATGAGCTTTAGTTCCGTCATCTTACGGATCAACCTAGACGAAGGTATAAATGACTTGCCCAAGGTCAAAAGGAGTGGGTGTGCGTCTATGGAAACATGTAGTTGTATGTCTTACGTAAAATCTACAATCGGACTTCTTTGAGAAGAGCATTGACCTACAAGGGAAAAATATTTCAGCCTAGAGGTGCTTTCTGCTTTTTTAAAAATGGTTTCTATTGCTCCTGAAAGACACTTTCAAGCAGAGTCACACAGAGAGGGCAGGCCAAGCCTGCAATGCTAGGAAGCGTTCTACTGCTACATTCTAGTTGTGGATTTAACTTCATACTCAAGATGAAGTATAAAGAGGGAGGAAAAAAGGTAGAGTGACAGGGAGAAACACAAAGGGCCTTCAAAATGTTAACCAGAGTTCTCTACATCTGTAAGGCAGGTGCAGATAAAAGCAACACGAAATAAACTGATTCAGCATTTCTGAAAGAACATAGGGTCTCCTGTTGTAAAAAGAAAATGGCTTTATTTAGTATTGCTCAGAGGTAGCACAGGACTGATCTGCATAGATAGCATCCAGATAGAAAGAATTAATCATAAAATTAGCAGTTGTTTTGCCAAAACTGGCAGTTGGTCACAGTGGCACGCTCATACGCAGGTCCAAAAACTTCTGGACTTTTATTCAGAAGCAGAAGATAATCCTATGAGCTGTGATACTTGTTTTCTAACTGCTTGACTCCTTCAGAAATAATCTCTGATTATGGATCACACTCCAGCAATTTGCACCAAGCAGCACTAGAGTTCCAAGGGAGCAGTCCCACCCCTCCATGGATTGACCCAGCTGCCTCTTGGAAGTACAGGTCCTGCGAGGCCAGGCTGGCAGCCTTGGCCAGCTAGGGCCAATAACCGCTGGGCAGACAAACGTAAGGATTGCTGTGCGAGTCTTACTTTCCTGTCCTGTAGCTAACTTCACCACGCTATCGAGAAGGTCCCGACCTCCGCCTCAGCTACTTAGCTCTAGGTAGTTTGCTGTCATTTAAAGCTAGAGTCTCAGCTGAAGTTGTTTACTGTTTTTTAACATAGTTGAGATGTTCTTTACTCATTCTGCTCTCTTTTCTAGGTTCTGAAGTAATTTAAAGTGCAGCTGGGGGGTTTATTGTGACAACTTTTACACCATCTTTGCTCAATGCTTCACAGGAGAGATGTTAATTATTTTTTTTTTAATGAGATAACTTGTCTACACACAATTGGTGGCACTCCTGCAGCTTTTAACCTCCCAGTCACCTGCCCTGAGACCTGGGTTCTCAAAAGATATGCCAGCCCTCGGTTAACTTACTGCAGTCAATGAGCATTTGGGGCCATGATACTTCAGTGGCGAGGGTACAGCTTCTTACAGAGAATATACTGAAAAATAACTGATTCCACTTTGTACCTAATGGTACAAATAGGCCGGCACCTGCTTCTGTGTGCTTGAGAGCATTTGTATTGCATGTAATTGCCAGAAAATCTAAATTCCTAAAGTACTTTCACTCTCCTAGGTCAAATAGCAGGAACTGAAAATAATGCCACACATCCTAAGTTGAGAGTCCTACCTTTTCACTATTACTGTTAGGGAAAAAAAAAAAAAGTAGTTCTTTGTTACTTCATAATCTAAACCTAAGACCGCAACTTCCGTTTCTATTCTAAAGCCAGAGAACCGTAGCCTCTGGCTCTTGCGTGAGATACCAAGTAAAGGTTGTTCCCTGCATTGGTGCTCTAATTCTAGAAAGGGGGACTGGTTGCTTACTAATCTCAATCCTTAAGTGTAATATTCCAGAAATTCACATTAGATTGTGTTCGTAGAGCCATCACGAGGGTGGCTGAAGTATCAGTGTTCTAGTCTTGAGGTCTCTCAGCAGTGCTCTTCCCAGGAGAAGCATCACTGGGCTCAGCCAGGTACACACTTGAGGTCTGCGCCACTCAGTCCCACTGGATGCCGAGGAGCTCACAGCTCACGTTCCAGAGCTTCTTTGCTGTCTCATCATCCCGACCCCGTGGAGATACATATGCTGGCTGGCAATCACTGTAAGGGGAATATCGTGGGGGGTTTTTTAAAGTCAAAGATCTCCATCTGCATTAGCACACTGAAATGGCTGTGTTAAGGTGAAAGTTGTTTTCTATCAGCTTAACTTCAAGACCAGCTGAAGAAGGGTGGGAGTCTACCCAGCAAATGAGCAAGGGTTGGTGCTAAGCCACCTTGAGAAAGCTTGCCTTCCAGCTAGCTTGGGAAGAGCCCTCCCCCCATGACACCAAGTATGGGCAAGCAAGTCTTAGCACTATCTTTTGTCTCAACTTTTAAAGAAACCTATATATGCTCTACTATATACTCCTCAGTGTACATTCTCATTAATACCACTGAAAAGGGCTATAAACACTAACCAAGCTTCTTCAGGAGCACCTTTTCTAGCAAACACTAGAAAAAAGCCACTCAAACAGCCCTTCATTCTGAACTATTCATCCCACTATATTGCCATTGCATGAAAGGCAAAGCTGCCCCAGAATAACTCCTCTGTAATAACCATGTATGTTTATCCCCTTTCCCATTATCCTCTGAACTGTGGCTCCTTTCTTCTCAGCTCCGGCACTCAGACAGCACTCTCTGGACTAGGGATCACGTGTCCTCAGCTATAATGCTACGTGCTCAGTAACACAGGAGTTTAAGAGAACAGAGGAAATTGCATCTCGAAAGGTTTCTGTCCAGCCTAATGTTTTTAGAGGTCCAAGTGCAGAGTCTCTAATGGTACTGAAATGACTCCGGTGGACTCCACCTGTCTTGCTGTGGAATGCAAATTTTTTTCTTAATGTCTATACTCGTGCTTTATAGTCTATTGCCTGGAAAGTGAAAAGTATTTTAGATTAGTCCAATGTAAATTGTGAATTAGCGTTGAAGCTATTCATTTCCCACCAAGTCCAAAACTTTCTTTTATGAGTTTAAAATCCACCAAAGTTTTCTGCAGTGCAGCACATAAATGCTTCATTTACATCCTGGGACAGACAGTCATCCGGGGCAGATTAAGACATCTATTTATATATTCAAGTCTGATTAAGATGGTACAAACTCCCAAGTGAAGATCAGACAAAGTCATTACAGAGACTAATCCGCTCACATATCACAAGAGGAAAGCTCTGCAAAGAAGCAAAGGCTCCAACAGTGTCCATGTGAATTAAAAAAAAAAAAAAAAAAAAAAAAAAAAAAAAAAAGACACCTTTTCATGTTAATTTCCCAAAACCACTATTGGTACATTGCTCTACACCCAGTGGGAGGCTGATGGACACATCTGAACAAAGCTGTTCAAATGGCAAGCTTCAAATTTTGGGTGATGACGACTTGGAACTGCTCTGGGCTGTAGTTTCAGTGAGGGGAAAAGGCATGACTATGGAGGGTCCTGGAGTAAGGCTAAGAAGTCAAAAAACAACAGGGTTTGTAGTGGGAGCTATAAAAGACAGTTTGTGGGACAGAATGATAAGCACCCCAGCAGGAGTCCCTCCCAGCTGGTGGGTCTGTCACACTGGAGAATCAAGTTATTTTGTCACACGCCAGTCCTGAAAATCTCCCCTCCTAGCTCTGCAGCACCATCAGCCCTCCCAGCTCCCTGGGAGCACAGGCTCCTTCTGCTCCGGTGGAGTAAAAGTACGAAGAGAACCAAAGTGGTCTTCCCAGGATTGACTCAAGTGACCTCATTAACTAAATCGCTCTACTGAAAAGTGATTTCCCCAAGTCTCAGGCAGAT